CCCGGTTTCAAGAGTTTCATTCTATGCTCATAAAGATTGTCCGTACTAGTGCGCACAAAGAAGTCATCGACTCTGCCGGAATTTAAGAGATTGTAAAGTAGGAAGCTGTCACCTCTTATTCGACGGGTTTCAAGGGGATACAGGTTAAAGATGGAAAGGCGTGCAGGATAAGGGGTGGAGGACAATCCATGCACAAGTTTTGTCGCCCTCCGTTGTACACGCTCCAAAACCGTACAATCACACACCAGGCGGGAGTGAGCAATTTGAATCCCGTATTTCAACAAGGGTCGGACAAATGTACTATAAATAATCTGAANGAAAGTCTTCTCTATCTATTCTAGGAAATGAGCGTCTTAGGAATTTAAGAACACGGAAGGCGAATCTACTAGCTTTCTGTTGGTGGTAAGAGAATGAGAGTGACCTGATCAGCCAGAAACCAAGAACCTTGTGGTGTTCTTCACTCTTGATACTCGTGGAAGCGTTAGCTCTGAAGCTATGTACGGGGACCCTCCCAAACGACATACTGACGCATTTTTTGTCATTTATTGGAAGGTTCCGGGCCGTAGACCAGTCTTTGACTGCATCAATTGCTGATTGGATAGTCTAGGGTTTTGTGCCCAAATTGTCCCATCTTCGGCGTACATTGCTACGTTGACACCGATCCGGTGTGGCAGGTCATTATTAAAAAGAGGATGGGGCCAAGGACGGAACCTTGCGAGACTACGGTAGAAATGGAAGAGTCAGATGAGATCAAGGAACTTATGCGAATCGAAAAGGTGCGGTTCGTGAGATATCGCGAAGAAGAGCAAGGAGTCTACCAATGAGGCCATATGATTCGAGCATATAGAGCGTGTGGGACACGATCGAAAGCTTTTGCGAAATCAATGAAGATTGCGTGAGGAATCAAGCCGCCATCGTGGGCTTGTGATAGACTGTCCATGACAGATCGCATATTGGAGATGCAAGATCTGCCTGGGAGAAAGCTGTGTTGGGTTTAATAAAGAAGTGGATTGCCTGTTAAATGTTTTGGAAATTCCCTTTTTGAAACCCGTTCAAAGACCTTGCCGGGCACGCTAGTCAGGCTGATGGGTCTGTAACTACTTGAAGTGTGTCGGAGTGTTAGGGGGGATATGATGCCTCTCTTCCAAGACGAAGGAAATATTCCAGCATCTAGACGCTTTTGGAAGAGGGTGGAATAGTACGGGGCAAGAACCGAGACGGCTTCTTTCAACACACGAGGGTTTATATCGTCTGGTCCCATCGAACTAAGGGGTTTCAGGGATTCGAGGAGTGATTCGGTCTTCCCTGGAAGAATGATGAAATGTTCTAATGGAGGTAGTGCATTAAGAGAGGAAAGATTAAGATGGGGAGGGACAAGAAGAAAATTAGAGGCGGATTCATAATGAGACCGAAAGATCTCAGCTACCTGAGCAGAGGAGGTTACAGGAGAGCCGTTAGGTAGCTTGCGGGCTAGTGTCGAGGAGGTTGGTTGCCTTTTACGGCGGAGTGACTTAAATAAAGAATAAGGGTTATTTCTGCCACGGAGAAGAATTGCTTTCTGTTGTCTATAGTGGAATTCCCTAACTCTCTGCTTACGTAAGTTGCGGATTTGCTTAATCTCGACAGCATCAGCGTGGAGTCCAGTACATTTTAGTCTAGCGAATTAACGCACCCGCTCGTCCATAAGGTGCCGAATGGATCGGGGTGAGGGAAACCAATGGTCAGAAACAGATTGGACTCTAGGAGTAAACAGGTGGTCCGCTTCGTGAATTACACTCTCGAGCTACTCATTTAGGTTGTTCGGGTCAGTATCAGTATTGCAGGATCCAGCCTTTTGGCCAGGAATTCTCGTAAGAGAACGAAATTGGCCCTTTTGAAGGAACGTAGCATTCTGTAAGAGAGCAAGTTAGCCAGCGGATAATATAACCAAAGGA